CCATTGTGGAGATTTGCCTTTTCAGAGTCTTACAAGATTTTGTTATTGTTTCTTCTAAGTATCTCTCATTTCAAGGCTACCTCTCCCAACAAAATTTCTCCAGGCAAGATTATTTTTTCTCTTGGGCAGCCAATTGTGTCTCCTTCATCCCCAAAGCCCCACTAGTTTTTTTGTTTTAGTTTTGTTTTGGTTTTTTTGTGTCCCCAGGACATCCCACTGGTCAACCACTTTCATCTTGATAGAATCCTAATAAAACTGCCCTCAGATTCAATACATCCACTGCCCCTACCTAGCCACTGCACCCCACCTCTGACTCAATATTCTAACTTCCTCATATATGCCTCACCAGAACAACAGGTGTGTCCATGGACTCATATTTCTCACAGAAACAGCAGGCATGTCCACGTGATGGAATCCCAGCCACTGCCTCTAGCTAGCCACTGCCCCCAGACCTATTCCTCATATTTCCCACAGAAACAGCAGGTGTGTCCACCCACGCAACCACAACCACATCCATCTAATCTCAGACAGGACCACAATAGTCAGCCAAACAGAAAGGAGAACCATCAGGATGTGGACCCCATAACAATAGAAGGGACTTTCCCTAAGTAAGTACCTGCGCAGTAATAGCAAAAACTGTTTGTTAGATGAACTTATGACATAGAGAGGCTTATTATAATATCATTATCACACATACAAGCCCCTCCAAATGGGTTTTTCTGTATGTATTATGGGTAATCACATGCACAGTTCCAACAAGGCTGGGACCCTTCCCCATTACCTAATCCCTTAACAAATTCCTTCTGCCTTTTTAATATTCATAATTTCTGTTGTGTAATCAGCATCATTACACTATAACTTTGCCTGTGTTACTAAGTTGCTGGTTCCTTTTGAAGTTCAGCCAGTTGGAGATGTCATTCCAAAAAATGCCTATACTTGTATTAAAGGTGATCTGACTGAATTCTTTGAGACAGTCCTACCACAACACACCATGAAACCGCAACAATCTATAGCCTCTTCCTCCTCATCCCTCTGCAACCATACAGATCACTTATCAAGAAAAATTACCTTCCAAAGCACCTCAAGGTCCTGCCCTCGTTCTTCAAGTGACTAGATTAGTTAATATGACCAACGAATTCCTGATAATGGAAGAATGCTGGAGGAAACTCCCCTAACCTTCCTCCCTTAAGCCTCCACCTTCACTGGTATCTCTAGTGAGCATTTGTGGTCTTACCTAAAAAAATGATTCATAGTGAATATTTAAGGTAAAACATGAGGGAAGTATGACAACCTGGTGGGCAGGAAAGGAAAGCATAATTAATCAGGCAGGCCTTCCTCAGTCCTCCAAATCCTATCAAATAGGCAGCTAGTCACTTTGCTGAGTTTAAGGCTATGCCTGTGCCTATATGGGTCCTTATTTCCCCAAGTCTTTCTACCTTCCAGATACATCTGATAGAACAGTCGAACACTAGAAGCGAGCCAAAATAGTAGAGGCAGCCAGCCTCGCCAGAGGAGAAAGAAGGGCACTTCTACTGACTTCAAGACCATTCAGTACCCAAGGGTAAGCTGGGGAGGGGAAGTTGAGGAGGTGGGATGGCCAAGAACTTTTCCAAATCAGTTCACTAAGTGAAGTCCTCTGGTCTTAAAATTCCTACAAAGGTGAAATGTAAAACTTGATTATTAAAGAGGTGGAGAGGAGCCAGTAGGGAAAGATCCCATCCAGAAAATACAAAGCAGAAGCCCAACTCTCACCAACAGCCAAGTCAAACAGGATACTAATCAGCAGGGCAGGGAGGAAGGGGTAAGACAGAAAACTTGATCCTTAGGAAGGCTGTTACTAGACTAAGACAATAGGGCTAAGGATGTGGACTAGATTTGCAATTGCAATGATTCAGGAAATTCCCTCTATCTGTGCAGTTCAGTACCTTCTCTGGAGCTTATATAATAGCATTAGGTCTGCCTGGATCAGGGGTGTCAAACTCCTCTTCCATGTACCTTCAAATAGGCCCAACCCAGATTAAAATGTAATTGAGAGATATTTAACAAAATGAATTAAATATATAACAGATAACAATAATTTGAAATTTTCTAAGTTAACATGTGGCCCACAGAGATCCACTTCTATTTGACTTTGACACCTCTGGCTTAGGGCAATGAGAGGTCAATTGACTTGCTCATAGTCACACAAACAGTTATGTCACACCCAATCTTCTTGGTTTGGAGGCTAGCTTTCTAGCTAGTGCCTGATTGCTTAGTAATAAGGACAAGAAGACATCATAAGAACTTGTGAAATACTGAATGCCATTGCTAAACTCCTGCCTAAACCAAGGGAAGGTTAGGAAAGCAGAGAAGAGGAGAGTGTCAATTAACACAAACTTCTGAATATTTCTTTTCTCTTTCTTCTCCAGAGTATTCTAGGCCCCTAGGAGGCCACCCTACTATGCCTCTGGTACTGGCCCTTTCTGTGTCTTGTGGATTCCATTGGGAAGTAACTGTTCCAAGGTTAGCATTCCGTGTACATGCAAATTCACAAAGAAACAATTAAGAATATGTGTATATGCACAGAGTTCACACAAAACCCATGTTAGAAAAATTAAAAGCCCAAGGCTGTTAGTGAGGTTTGAGCAGAATACAGGAATATTACAAGTATCCTCATAACCAGGGTGCGTGGCCTACAATGTCATTTTCTATGATCAGTATTGGGAATGTCTAAGCTTCAGTCCCAGCCAGGAAGTTGGGACTCATAGCACAAACATGCAAGAAACACAAAGTCTCTCAAGTATGACAGCCAGGATAGCTGTATCAATGAAGACCAGGGCTTGATTGGGCTGGGCCTTAAAGAAATAAGGCTGCAGGCAGAGGTATGCTTGGAACTTGCTTAACTAGGAGAGTAGATGGTTAAATTTTCAGTGTGAGCATTTCTGCCTCAGAAATAGGTAAACGCTATAAATTGGACTTGAGTTATTGGTTTTTGTTTTTAGGGGTTTTTTAATTGTCTAAACTTAAGAAAGCAATGGAGAAAATGTTAATAACACAGATTGAACTTAAAAGTGTATGTATGTGCCTTTTTTTTACCTGGAGTGCCAGTTGTTAAACCTTTACTCCCTTTAAACACTACTCACTTTGGGACAAGTGAAGATGTAGGGGAAATACAACTGGTACCTGGCTTTCAGTTTATGAAGCTCACCACTCTTGTGTGTGTGTGTGTGTGTGTGTGTGTGTGTGTGTTTCATTGCCAAGGACACTGCCTAGCTGTGTGACCCTGAGCAAGTCACCTAACCTCTGTTTTCCTCAGTTTCTTCATCTGTAAAATGGGGATAAATAATAACACCTACTTCCCAGGGTTGTGGTGAGGATCAAATGAGATAATAATTGTAAAGCACTTAGTATGGCTCCTGGCACATAGTAGGAGCTGTATAAATGTTAACTACTATTGTTATTATTACTGGGAAACAAAGAAATAGCTCATGCTTCAGAGGCTATGTTCAGTTATGAGATTAATAGATTAAAAGTTACATTTATAAAGATGATACTTGGGGATGCCATTGGGAAATGTGCAGTTAGTTGGGGGCATTTTTAGTATGTTCTATGTAAAAGGAATTTTTTTTTCCTTCCTGAAAGCATCATGTTGAAAGCCTAACATGTTCTGACTAAATGCAGTTGAAGTGAATTGGTCCCTCAACCCTCCTGGCATAAAGAATGTGTTAAAGAAGCTACTTGTGTAGAAAGGGTCCACAATCATAGATATAGATCCAGAAGGGACCCTTAATGGCCATTGTGTCTAAACTCCCTCATTTTACAAATGAGGAAACTAAGCCTCAGAGAAGTTAAATGACTTACCAAGCTAACCAGTGTGAGAGGCAGAATTTGAACCCAGGTTTATCGTAACTCCCAAATACAGTGGAATATGCAATCTACCATGCTGCCTCTTCCAGAACCCAATGTAATCAAGAGCTGAGAAACTAAAACTTATTCAAAAATAGATTACACACTTCACATTTTGTTAGGGCAGTCAATCTCTTTAGTTAGGGGATGAAGTGGGTGGAAAATATGACACTTTGTGGGCACCCAGCACCCAGGACATGACAACACACTTAGAAATAGGCTTTAGGGTATTCAGAACCATGGAAAGAAGTATGGGATGACAGGTTTAGATATGGAAAGGCTGTTAAAGTCCCTTTGTTTTATCCGTAGCCTTGAGAAGTCATCTCATGCAACCCTTTGCTTTTAAACTCTCCATTTTCCATTTGCTTGCTTGGGACCCCAGGAAACATGATCCCCTACCCAGAAGAAAAGCTGATCATCAGAAAGCTTGTTGTCATAGTGATTAACTCAGCTTTGGATCCTCAACCCCCTCAGCCTTCTCTTCCATCTGATTGGTGGACTGGAGGGTGGGACACTAAACTCCTCCCAAAGTTTTTCTTTATATCTGAACTTTCCTAACTAACTTTCCACTTTCCAACTGCATCTCTGCTTGGTTTGGACTCCACAGAACATGATGCCCACTCTGGAGGGTATCCCCTTGTGATTCCTCCCCACCACTTCTTTTTGTGTGTTGTCTTGCCCCGTTAGATTGTAAGCTCCTTGAGAGACTGTGTTAAGGAGACTTGTCTTGGGACTGTCTTTCTGTTTCTTATCTTGTATCCCCAGCACTTAGCACAATGTCTGGCACATAGTAGATGCTTAGTAAGGGTTAGCTGAATTATTGAAACAAAGTTATAATTAAGTCATTGCATATAATTCTTTTTTGTTTTAATTCTTCAGAGAATGATGTTCAACAGCTTGTCTCAGGAGACTAATCCAGAAGTTATGTATCCCTAACAAAAAGGCATTTTGAGGAAAACGAGTTTTTAGCCTCTTCCAAATGAAACCAAATCCATGAAAAAACAACAGGCAACGCTATTGGCAGTTTGCTCAGAGAAAAAACTGTTGTTGTGCCAGAATTCTCACTTTCAGCTGGTTGCTATTAGGATATACAGCTACAGTCTTAGAAATTAAGATCATATGTTAGCCATGGTGCATCTTTATTCAGGAGTGTCAATGATAAACGGACCTTGAGTCACAGTTGCCTCTTAAAACCACATCTTCCTTTAAAGAAAAGTTTGTTTAACAAAAACTGATCTAATTGTTCAGAAACTCATATCCATGTGTGCTTCAACATGGTACAGGGAGTTTAGGTGTTTATTTCAACAGTTGCGTAACCCCCCCCCAAAGTTCAAATCAAACATTTTCAATTCATCAGACCTATATAGTTTCCATCTGTACAAGTCTCAAATGTGTTATTCTGTCTACTACTCTCTTCCCAGCAAGGGGCTCATAGTTGTAAGTCTTCAAAAGAGTTTCTAGGAAAATAGGAACTTTTATTTCATCTCCCTTTTCCCCAGACATCCTCATGGTATCTTTTGGGAACCAAGTAGTCTGTCCACTTCTCAAGATGGCAGAACCAAGATGGGACCCACTAATCTAACAACTGTCTCAGTGAGCCATGGACAAGTAGAATCACTTTCAAAATTCATAAAAAAAAAAAAGAAATACTCATGCCAAATAGCAGGAAAGGCCTAAATAAAGTTACAGGGAGAAAAAATGTTTTAAAACAATGTATGTAAAAAGTGCAGCTTGACAGAAACAGAAGATTCGAGGACAATTCATATGCTATGGAACAGACTTGCATTTGCGCAAGCATAGGAGACATCTCAGAGCCTGGTTTAGGGAAGAAGTGTTGTATCCACCATGAGGTGAAAATCACGGAATGGTCATTTGCCTAGTATTGCAAATCTATTATCACAAATAATTCCTTAAAGATTTTCCACTTGATGACCCACAAAAGACAAAACTGATGACCTTTTTTTTTCCTTAATGAATAACTTTCTCTCTATGGAGCTCTTCCCCAAACATGATTAGAAATACCAGTTCCTTGATTTCTCCCATATTTATTTATTCTTCCTATCCAAAGCTCAATTAATTTCACTGGAGGCTTTCTTAACAATTTGAAAGTCTACAAAGAACACATTTTATGGTTCAGACACAGCACCTAGATTGGGTCTGTTTTGCTGGTTTATAATTAGTAATATCCACAGTCTGTGAAGGTCCCTCAGCTCTCTGGCGCAAAATTATTGGTACCATCATATCAAAAAGGGTTTCAAATACATGGTCCACATTGTAGCCTGTCTTTGCACTAGTCTCAAAGCACATCTTTTCAGCAGCTGGCACCTCCTTTTCATCTAACATTCTGTATTTCAGAATCTTCTTATAAAGAGCCATGGCATCATCCAGGCAAACTCGTTTTGTGGCTCTGGCTGAGTCACAGTTACTGATGGTCTTTCCAGGGTCATTCAGATCTTTTGCACCATCCTTCACACCGACCTCATCGATGAGGTCAATCTTGTTCCCCACGATGGCAAAGAGACAGTCTGTGTTGGCTGTGTCTGTCAGAGATAAGAACCTGTCTTCCAGTTCAGTGAGGCTCTGCAGGTGGTTCACATCGTAGGTAAGGATGATAGCAGCAGCTCCTCGGCAGTACATAGAGCCAAGACCATGGAATTGCTCCCTTCCTGGCAGAGAGAAAAAAGATAGGGAGAAGAAAAGAAACACTCAGTTAGACCCAAAAACACCCAGAGTGTACCATTGTTTTTTGTTTTGGTTTGTTTTTTTTTAATTTATTTATTTTTAGGTTTCAACATTTACTTCCACCAGATTTTGAGTTTCAAATTTTCACCCCATCTCGCCCCTCCCTCCACCCCAAGATGGCATGCATTCTGAATACCCCTTCCCCTAGTCTGCCCTCCCTTCTATCTCTCCCTCCTTTCTCTTATCCCCCTCCCCTTCTACTTTTCTGTAGGGCAGGATAGATTTGTGTACCCCATTTCCTATATTTCTTATTTCCCAGTTGTATGTGAAAACTTTTTTTTAAACATCTGTTTTTAAAACTTTGGGTTCCAAATTTTCTCCCTTCCTCCCTCCCCACCCACCCAGAGGGTCCCATTGTTAAACAGAAATCCTGCTGGGGAGGGGAAAGACGAATGGAAACATTTCTCTTAGTGGTTGTTGTAAAACCATCACAATGAGGCAACCCTTACTCATATTCAAGAGCCCAAGGAATGACTTTTAGTATACTTTCCTCTTAAATCAATGAGATTGAATAAGTTGCCATAGATTATTTAGTAAAAGAAGACCTTAAATAAAATGACCTACATTATCACAGATCTTGAGGTCTCCGGTCACTGTATCTATCTCACAACATTTATCAAATGCTACAATAGATGCCTTCACTTTCTTTTCTCTCATTCTCTTCTTAACTCTTTACAGTCTGTCTTAGGACTTCAGTATTTAATAGAAAATGCTCTCTCCAAATTCAGTAAAGATCTCTTAATTGCAAAATGCAGCAGCCTTTTCTCAAACTTCATCCTTCTTGACCTCTCAAGGTCAAGTCAATCATCCTCTTCTCCTTGATACTCTCTTCTTTCTAGGTTTTGGTGATACTTCTCTCTCCTGGTTCTTCTCCCACCTGTCTGCTCGTTCTCTGTCTCCTTTGCTGGATCTTCAGGTCATGCCCACTAACTGTGAGGATCTCCAGGGGTGTGCTGGAACCAGTCCAAATTGGTTCATGAGAGAATTGTTACATTTCTTCAGTGTATTTATACTTTAGAAATCAGCAAATATTATAAATGAGAGCTTGCTTTATTGTTTTGTTGCTTGCTTAAACTTCAAAAAGTAAATAATGCAAATAAGTACAAATAAATGCAAATAAAACTTAAATGTATGCCCTGTATATTTTTTTTCTTTCTGAGAGCTGGTTGTTAAACATTTGCCAGCACATTGCTAGATGTCCCTTGAGGTTCTATCCTAGACTATCTTTTCCCTCTGTACTATTTTTTACTTGGTGATCTTAGTTTCAATGCTAATCTTTATGCAAATGACTCTCAGATCTACTAGTCCAGTATTAAACCTTCCTCCAATCTCCAGTCTTATATCTCCAACTGTCTATTAGACACCTCAAACTGGGATCCCACAGACATTTTAAACTCAACATGTCCAAAGCTGAACCCATGATCTTTCCCCCAAAATTGTCTCCTCTTAATTTCCCCATTATTGTGGAGGTTACCACTACCCTCCCACTTCCCCAGGCACCATCCTAGACTCCTCACTCTCTCTCACCCTCAATATGTAATCAGTTGCCAAGTCCTGTCATTCATGCCTTTATAACATCCCTCAAATATGATCATTTCTCTCTTCTGACATTTCCATCACCCTGAGACCCTTATCACCTTATGCCTGTACCACTGAAATAGTCTGCTGCTTGGTCTCCCTGCCTCAAGTCTTTGCCCACTCCAACCTAGCCTCCAGTCAGGAGTCAAGTTAACTAATTCATAGAACTCAGGTCCAACCCAGTCACTCTCTGCCCCCATTCAATTAGCTTCAGTAGCTCCTTTTTGCCTCCAGGATCAAATACAGTATGAAATCCTTTCTTTGGTTTTTATAGTCTTTCATAACCTGGCCGCTTCCTACCTTTCAATCAAGAAATTGCCACAACCACCCCAACCTTTAGCAACCACCAACCCGATCAGTCAGCAGCCATCAATCAGTGTTAAAGAAGAAAGAGCCTCTACCAACAAAAAAAAAAAATATGACTTGTTGAAGGTTCAAACGATGGTTAGCATTTTTTTAAAATGATAAAGTATTTTTTAACTAAGGTATGTAAATTTTTTTTAAACATAATACTATTGCACACTTAATAGACTACAGTATAGTATAAAAAAATAACTTTTACACACACAGAGAAACCAAAAGATTCATTGATTCATTTTATCGTGGTAATCTGGAACCAAACCTTCAATATGTCCAAGGCATACCAGACACTTATCAGAAATAGCCACGGTAAAATATTTCTCTCAATCAACATTTTCCCTTTTTACCCTGGCTGCATTAATTTTGTTCAGGCAAACAACTTTTCAATTTTGATTATTTATTCTCTTATTTTTCTGCAAGGTCACTTCTCTTATATGCTAAAGAATTTCCTTCCTAGTCATAACTATGAATGATATCTGATCTACTCTTCTAAATTTGAAAAAAAAAATCCATTTCAAACTTAGCTTAATTATTGTCAACTATATTTCCAGGTTTGATAGAAGTCTTGTCAAATAGGGAGATTTTGCTCCAATTAATTTGTGCCCTCTCATTTATTGAACACTTGGTTACAGAATTCAATTGTTTCTGATTCTATTTTTTTTAACCTGCACCAAATAGTTGTGATGATCACTGCTTCCTAACCTAAATTTGAGGTCAGGAAGTACTGTTCTTAGGATCCTAGATGGAGAGCTGGAAGAAGCATCACAGGTGATTTAGTCCAAAATTTACACTAAGTTGTTAGTGTTAATTACTTCTTAAAAGAATTTTGTAGTATTTCATATTTATCTTTATACATTTTTGTATCTTCCCAAAAGTATGTAAGCTTCTTAAAGAAGGGTTGTTTCTTCTCCTTGCAGCCACAGCACTTAGCCCTGTGCCTAGCACATAGTAGGCCTTGGCAAATATTTATTGAAATGAATTGTCTTAGTGGAGGAGCATATTGGGAAATTTAGCTGAAATAAGAGCAAAAGATTTCAATGAAAAAACTTTAATTGGAAAAATAAAATTAATTGTCTCTCAAGTAGATAATAAGTTCTTAGAGGTTAGGGATCATATGTTATACTTCTTTGTATTATAACAGTGACTGGGACAATGACTTGCAAGTCATGTCAACTCTAGCATTATTAAATGTATTGATTTTCTTTTCATATATTTAGTTTCTTCAACTAAATCATGAGCTTCTAAAAAGTAGTTTTGTAAACTGTGCATACCTTTTGTTGCAGAAATACCACTATTAAGTCTGTCTCCCAAAGAGATTTAAAAAAAAAAAGGAAAAGGACCTATGTGTACCAAAAAAAAATTTTGTTGTGGAAAAGAATTGGAAATTGAAGGAATGTCCATCAACTGAGGAATGGCCAAACAAAGTTGTGGTATATGATTGTGATGGAATACTATTATTGTGCTATAAGAAATGAGGAGCAGGATGCTTGCAGAAAAACCTGGAAAGACTTGTATGAACTAATGCAAAGTGAAGTGAGCAGAACCAGACCAGTATACACAGTAACAACAACATCGTATGATGATCAACATGAATGATTTAGCAGTACGGTGATCTAAGACAATTCCCAAGGGACTCATGATGAAAAATACTATTCACTTCCAGAGACTGATGGGAGTCTGCATGCAGATTGAAAGATACTGTTTTTTACTTTATTTTTCTTGGTGTTTTTTTTGGGGGGGCAATAGGGAGGTAAGACAATAGTGGGCTAGGCTAGGTGAAGGGTAACTGAGAATTGGGAGATTGGGCATAGGCAATAATGAAAGGCCAGTTGACAGGATCATAGCCTCAGGTGAATGCTAGAGATCTGGCCAAGTGGGAAAGCCCAGGGCTTTTCTTTTTTGAGGTCCAGATCCCAAAGATATGGTCTTTTCTTTTTAGGGGTTCATATCCCATTCCTATCACCCCAAAAAATCCTAGTAGAGTGTTCTACATGTAGTATTCAGTCAGCTAACATTTATTAAGCACCTACTTTGTGTCACTGGCTGTGCTAAATGCTGAAGGTACAATGAAAGGCAAAAAAAAAAAAAAAAATCAGTCCCTGATGCCAGGAAGCACTGTTATAGAGGAGACAACATGTTAAAAACTATGTACAAACAAGATTTATAGAAGTAGTCTCAGAGGAAAGGCATTAAGATTAAGCAGGGCTGGGAAAGGCTTCTTGCAGAAGGTGGGAAGTTAGCTAAGGTTTGAAGGGGAAGCCAGGTAAGTCAGGAGGTAGCAATGTGGAGGGAGAGTTCCAGGCAACAGGGGCAGCCAGTTAAAACATACTGAGTTGAGAGATGAAAGCTTGTGTGGGAGTGATGAGGATGGGATCTGGACCCTGGAAAAACCCTGGACTTTCCTACATGGCCAAATCTCTGGCATTCCCCTGAGGCTATAATCCTATCAATTGGCCTTTCGTTATGGCCAATGCCCAATCTACCTCCAGATGCCCCCCCCTCTGCCACCACTTCCCACCCTTAATCCTTAATGGTCCAGGTCCCAGGCATTCTGTTCACCCCGGCTTACTGGCCACTCCCATCCAGATCTTACTTACACCTCTCCTCCAGTCACCTCAAACTATTTGGCTACTCCTAGATCCCTTCCATAGTCTTTCTGTATATAAGGTTCATCTTGTCTCTATTAAGGTGCTCAGATTCTTAAAATCTAGCCACTCCTCAGATTCTTATAATCTAGCCAATACCTCATTAATGTTCAGATTCCTTAAGAGTCTGGCCAATATGGCAGATATTCTAATAAACCTTGTCTTTGGCTCAAAGAAAGCTTGGGTCAAATTCATTCAGGCAGGACCCGCATGTTGTAGTTTCGGGGTCCCAGCACCCCTAAACCCCTAAACCTCAACAGGAGGATCAGCAAGAATGCCAGTAGCACCTGATCACAGAGTACGATGGAAAGAAATAAGGTATAAGAAGGCTGGAAAGATAG